ACAGGAAGAGGAAGAGGTAGAGGTAAAAGTGGTATAATCTGAAATTTTGTGTTGTAAATGAGCCGTCCTGAATTATCAGAGAGCACACAGAGGTTTCTAGTTCGTCATTCTTACTCCTAATATTCCTGTACAATAAGAACAGTCACAGAGTCTCCCAAGTGAGGAAAAAATAATGATATAAGCTTTAGACTATGGTAATGCAGTGGAATGACAAATGCCTGGACTGGCAATTACTGGCTATTACCCATTCAGGAAGGGTAGAGTAAGTAGAGGAAGAAGCAGCAGCAATTTTACATACTGTAGACTAAAAAGGCTACGGAGCACGTATCAAGGAGCGTGAGGATAGAGCTCAGGAAACAGGACTAATGGGCCCACTAGAAAACAGATGAAAGCGCCCTTTCCAAGCGCCCTTGTAATGAAAAGATAAACTGCTGGAGCCATACGGGGTACTCTGTGTTTCCTAAAATCATTTCGAGAAGGGCTTTCTAATACGAGATCCTGCATATCTTACTTTGAGCCATGTTATAATGTCTAGAGACAAAAATCAGTGTCCTGCAAGTTTTTAGTTAAAGACCAGCAGAGTCCGGATTTACCCATAGATCTATGCACATCTACCCACATATAAATGTACATATTTTTTCCGTTTCTACCTCTGTTTTAAAAAAGCTAAAACTAGAAGGAAAAAATGGGTAAACTTGACTAGAAATAAGAAAATGAAAACCAAAATGTAAATTTCTAAGAAGCTAGATAAAAGAAATAGATTTTTTTTTTTTTTTAAACTACAAAGTGAGGTAGTCTTTGGTTATACGGCTAGGAGGCTCAACAGCGATAGGAGGCAGCAATTAAAAAATAATTAATGGATATGGGAAGACAAAATAGGTAGTTCATATAAACTTGATGTAAGAGAATGCAATCCTGATAAGGAAAGCTTAAAAAAGGCATGACTAACAAAGATAAGGATGATACAAGAGAAATTTTAATCTATTGGGAATAAAAGCAGCGCCCAAAATGCGGTGGCGGCCTGTTGCTGACCATAAAAATACTGGCGTTGGGTATTTCTCAGTTTAAAGCAAGTGGAATATGTGTTTGCCATTCTGTTAGCACCCAGGCAGAACGGTAACCGGACGGAAAATAAGCCCAGACACTTCACCTAAAACGGCCCACGGGCTCACGCGCTTTGCCTGAACGTACGCTGGATGCGGAGACCGGTCAGTGGAGCAACAGCGGGCAAGATGACAACCCGGGTAAACGTAGGCGCGTTCATCTGACATCGGGGACGGGAATCTGAAAACACTATCAGAAATCCATTGCTAAAGAATTACAGGCAAACATGCAATTAAAATCCATCAAAAATAGACCTTGTCATTCAGCCAGGCTTAGTAATTGTAATTATGAAGACGCATCACCTGGCATGGCACTCCACAGTACACGCAATATTTACAGATAGTTATCATCTACAATATAAAATAAACGGCGCACACGCGGATTAAGATTGTCTCCCTGAGAGATCTCAAACAGGGATGTTTCCCGGGAGATTCTGCTCAGATCACTGCCAGACCTCATACTATTTGACACTTTCATCAGTGATTGAGAAGCAAACCTAAAGTCACGCCTGAAAACACCAGTAAGCAACAGCATGGTGGGAAAACACGCAGAAAAACATACGTTGCTCAGTAAGCCAGGCCTGCCAGAAAGCATGACTTAATTTTGCCTTCAGCTGCATGGACACAAGGAAGAAAACGTTGTCCACAGCTGCAGGAAAGGGGAGCCTAGCTCAGCTAGCCCAGAAAAGGCTGAGGGGAGGTCTAAAACTTAGCTCATCTGTTGCCAAAAGGGTTAGGACAGTCTTTGAGGGTATAAACAAGGAAGAAGTGAGTAAGAATGTCACGCCCTCCGTATAGAGCACCTAAATGTCAAAAAATGGATGGTCTGAGACACAAACATTATAGAAATCCTGGAGAAAATTCTTTGTAGGGAGAGACTTAAAGCAGCCCCGTCTCTTCAGCTTCTGGAGGAGCCCAACAGGCCCCTTCATTACTCTGCAAACATGTTCAGGGAGAAGAGACCAGGTACCAAAAGGTTTCTGTTTTGCAGGCAGAGTAAGAAGAACAAAGGCTGGGAGCTGAGGACAGACGACTTGAAGTGGAAAAAAGGCACGTGCTTGTTGCAATAAGGGTGAGCAACTATTGGAACAAATTAGCAAGGAACTTGTCAGTTGAAGAGCACTTCTATTTAAAAGACTGTTTCATAAAACATTTTTTTTTCTTATTAGAGGTTGTAAGCCCAGCACGCGTGACTCAAAGCACCCTGGCGCTGCGGTGAAATTGTGGCCAGTTACAACAGACGGACGTACCAATGACATTTCTGGTGGCAGCTGTGATGACTGGTTTAGACATTAAAAAAAACCCCAAACTTAAAAAGCAAAATAAATGCAATTGTTCAGGATTTGGACAATGCAAAAGGACTTCTTTCAGGCAATTAATTGGAATTTTACCTAGAGGAGAACTTGCTGTAATGGCAGATAACACATTTTAGAGGTTTCTGGTTTAGCTGGAGCGGCACTTTGAGTAGGTATGACCTATAGAGTTGAGTCCTCGGTAACGGTGTGCCCAATTTCCAGTGACACTAACCTGCCTCTTTCACACAGCGCAATTCATTGACAAACACAAGTGTGAAAAGCAAATTGGCTGCAAGCCTTCAGCTCCATTTCTTCTTCCTTTCATTTTAAAACGATTATTAGGTGCACATCGGGCATCCAGCAGGGAAGTTGCACGCTTACTTGATGTTGTGTTTGCACAGCAGGTAGTAATTTCAAAAGTTTTGTTGTGCTTTTATTTGCCAGAATAAAGTTAACCAGCCTCCACCCAAGAAGGCATATTTGCAGCCCTCCAGCCCTTTAAAGATGTGAAGGAGGAACAGAATGGAAGGAAGGAGATTTGTCAATGAACTCATTTGCAAGACAAGTGGCAGGTTGCTAAAAGCCACTGCTTGTAACTGTGCCCAACAGCCATGCACTGGTAAGTAACAGTTATACACACACACTGTGTGTAAGGAGAGCAATTAATTGGGATAACAAAGACAGAGGGAAAATTTAAAGTACCCGTAGTAGCTTCAAAGTGGGTCCATTTACGTATGGTCTAAGGGAGTGTATATATGTTGCAGTTGAGCGAAACCCGGGGCACAGACCCGAGCTGCCTCCCGTTCAGCGAGGCAGGCCTAGCGCTAATGTTGGTAAGGAGACAAAAGCCTAGGTGAACGCCTTTCCCCGCCCTTCAGCCCCTGTGGAAAGTCAGCTACTGTAACACAAGAGCCAGCGGACTGGCTCCAGCTGCAGGCGGATTGTACTGCTTCCAGGGCCGCTTCTTCCACTTTCGGGCAGCATGGAGCCTGCGACAGCAAGAACTGGCATCTCTACCCGGCTCCCGCTGAACCGGGAGCTCTAGGGAAGCAAGGTTCAGACACACCTGAGCGCCTCAGTCTGAACACAAGCCAAGCTTACGAGCTTCAGCCCAGCACTGCCTCTGCCCAGGGCTCCTTTGAAGCAGCTTGGACACCTTCGCTCTGTAGCGTTCTAGGTTTCAGGGAAGATTATTAACATTTCTACTAGTCCTAACACCCTGCCCAACCCAGTGAGCCCTCCCTGACTCTGAGGGGCTCAGTTCAGAAGGCGGCGTGGTGTTAACAGCTCTTCAGCCTATCCGGACCTGCACAGCCTCTTGGGTTGAAACTCTCCTAGCAGGTTCCCTCAGACCCCCATTGCCCAGGTAAGCTCAGCCCTCCGCCTGGATGCTGGAGTCCCACACACCCAGCCTCTGGCTGGCAAACGCCGCTCCAGCAGCACTGTGGCCGCTCTGAGGAGCAAACTCTTGCTTTAAAAGCTCCCATCCACACACCTACCCGCTCGCCCAAACTTTATGAGTAAAGGATACTCAGCCTTGCATATTAGAAACTTTACTCCAGTAAAGCACAGCATAGTTACAGTTTCAGCACGTGGAAATCCTAGAGGCTGTTTACTGTTATTTAGTTAAGTGACATTTTAATTATGCAGAAGATGTTAAAGCTGCACAGGCCTCACTGTGAATTAGGGCTTCTCCCTTCTTTTGACAATGACATTTTAATTCCCACAGGCTTAATACACACTCACTGCAGACTTGAGATAGTTTACAAACAAACAGGTAACCACAAAGTCAAAACTAAAACTGCAGCAGGACGGAGTTAAACAACGATCAAAAAACCCCTCCACAGCTGCAGAGAAAAAGAAGAAAATAAAGCACGACGAACACCTTAGCTTGAGAGACTACTCCTTTCAGGCATGTTAGCGTAAAGACTGGAGCTCTATTTCAGTCCTTAAGTACGCAGAAGGAGACTTCCTGAAATAAATTTAAGATGACAATTAATAGCCAACAGCCAGCCACTACTAATTATTTAATTAATCATGTATTGAAGTCTGCATGAAGACAACTGAAAAATCTGCCTCCAATGTAAACACTTCAGCATCAATATACAAAACAGGACGTAGTCATTATAAAAGGCACCCCTCCTCCAAAACCTGAATGAACGACTTCAACAGTACCTAGACAGACGGGTAGATACTTCAAAGCCTTCAAGGTCTGGTACATTAGGAAGATCTTTTGCAATCAACTTTAACCTCACTTATTTGTTTGCCATTATGGATATCCATGATATGAATGAATCTCGGACAAGCAAGTTCAATTAATTTTCTGGTACCATCACAAAGTCTGTGTGTGTGTATATATTTATACACACAGAGGCACAAAATTTCCTTGATACTTTCAGAAAAAATAATAAGTAGTAAACAAACTGTGGTGCAAGAGCGGCCTGAGGTTAATTTACTGATATTGCTATAAGCAAGACAAAAAAAATCAAATGCTTCAAATTAATGTCTTGCAAGTATGTTATTTGTGCGTGGTTGTAAGCAGTTTTAAAAACAATACCACCACGGGAAGGACTCAAATAAGGCAAGAACTTCACAGACCAAACCAACAGAAATACCAAGCCTTTATTACAAAGAGAATTATTCCACAGAAGAGGCTGGCTTGCTTCCATGCATGCTGTCAGTCATATCCACCTGCTGAGTGTGGAGAAGTGCTTCTGCTAGATTCATTAATTCCCCAAGACACCATTAGGCTTTGTTCTTGGCTACAGGTGCGTGGGCATTTTGATTCCACTGAATTGCTTGCTAGAATTTTGTTGCCAGCATTGAATGGGCCAAAATAATGAACCTGACTGTTGGACATCCAAACACCGCAAGGGAAGGAAAAAAAAAAAAAAATCACACACTGGACACTTATCACTAAGAGAAGTGAAACGATTTGCTTTACATCCACATTGTAAATTATTTCACAAGCAGGGAAATGAATATGCTTGAGTCTTATCTTCACTTGGGGAGCGCGAAGAATGTTTGCTGAATCCTTTTATTGGTACGTGCAAGCATACGGTCACAAAGCCTGAAAGCCAGCAGAACTAGACTGAATTAATGTTATCTATTGTTGTTTGGATTTTGAACAAAATTGATGGAGTATGAACCAGTTGATGAATCCTGCTTTATCTGGAAATTTTCTGTCGACAGGCCAAAGGGGCGGAGAACCAAATTCCCAAGATCCTTCAGTTTGCCTACAATGAAAAGGAGAGAGAACACGTTACGCATTAAGCGGAGAGAAAACCCCCATTGAATTATGCCCAACTACACCGTCCCGCTCTACTGATTTATCTACTAATTTAAGGTAAATGCTTTGGAAATCTCTGCAGTTTGTTGAATATTTAGGCTTTTACATGAATTAAGAAAATCCCAATCGTGATGTAGTTACTGTCAGCTTTGGGATTGAAAACAGATGCCCACGCTGGTTCTGAACAGCTTGTCAGGCAGTGATGAAGAGCCAGTGGCTGCAGACAGTCATGGCTGTGTGGTTACAGCTATCCAGAAGCACCGTATTTCCTCAGTTATAAGCTCTTGAGGCATGCGAGTTTAACAGCTCGCAACAAAGCATTGGTCTCCCCTATACTTACGCTTGGATATAACCGATAGCTGCCAATATTCAATTTTCTAACACAAGGTTTTCAGTTCTGGTCATTTTTGATGCAGCTACAGCTCTATAACCAACCAACAAACTAGCCGGTTTCCATGACGACCAAAAGAAACAATGAAAGCCAAAGTTCAAACTGCTCATTTGTAATTATTAAAAATCCCTTCCTAAAGGTGTGTATCGATATAAAGAAAAGTAAAACAAATTCATCCTTGCAACTGTGTTTACACCTGCAAACGAAGCAGTCCCATTTGACGCATACAACTTTACAGCCATTTTGCCTGCAGAAAAACTCAGCGCCATGACATAACATCATTAACTCACTTTCAAAGCTACAGTTCTCCAGGACTAACTAACACCGTGAAGAGCTCTAAACAACTATTATTTAACATGCATTGTTAAATATACATAGGGTATAACAGTTAATAAAATCTAAAGGCTTCTATCAGCATGTATGTAGCATACATGCTTCCCGACTCTAGAAAACGAATCTTGCTACCACCCATAAAAGGGGAAGGGCAAGAAAAGGACATCCTTTTTAAAAAAATCATACCTCTGTAGAGGTGACAGAATAGATAAAATGCATAAAATTAAACAAGAAGCAGAGGTAACAACTTCAATGTTGGCTAAACCCAAGCTGAGCCCCTGGCATGACAAGACAAAGGAGGAAGATGCTCAGTGTTCCAAGGAAAACATTCTTTTCCTCCTGGCTTCAATGCCGAATTGTAGACTGGTTTCCCAAAGAACAAACAGAGGAAGTTTTGACAAGCTGAAGCCTACCCTACGTTTGCATCCACAGGCTACACACCACCTTTCAAAAAGCCTTCTGCCTTCACTAGATCCTCAGGGCAATGGATTTTGTTTTGCTGGGAGTTTTGCGTGTGCACAGGGTGAGGAAAAAGTGACGACACCACCATTAGCTGGCACACGGGAAACCCAGTTAAGCAACTGCAGTAGTCACAATCAGGGAACTAAAACGCGCAAAGGCCACACCTATTCCTACGTGCACGTGTGTGCCTTCCGCAAGCCATCTTAAGTCATGAGAAACAGCTCTGTTACTCTAGTCACCTTCACCTTCAGTTTCTGTTTCTAAACTAACATATTAGAATCTAACTGCGAAGTCATATGGACACTTCTTTTGTTTCTTTGCTTTCCCTAAGTTCTTTTGTTTGTTTGAAAACCCTGTTTCTGCCCAGCAGTGCAATCGTCACTGTTGCTATTAAGTCAGCTCCCTCACTACCCTGCACCAGCCAGAATTCAGCGCAGGCTTTGTTGCTAAGCCACACTGAAGCAGCAACTTCACAGCAGTGATAAAGTAGAGAAACGTAAGGAGCAGAGCCATGTGTAAGTTCTTTACAGACAGAGACAAGCAGTATTTATGTTGCCCAAATGGAGCAGAAACAGATCAAGAGATTTGCCTTGCATGACACTGCAGGCCTGTGACCGTGCTCAAACCAGAAATCGTATCCAAGTCTGAACTTATCCCATGGAAGTATGCCCCCTATCTCTTACAGTCTGGCAACAGTTCAAGTCAGGCTGGACACCATCACCATAAACCAAAATATGCTATTTTTTCAATCACATTTCCAAAATTGAATTGGGGGCAGGGGGAGCTTCTTTGAACACATTCACAGAAAATACAAAGAGAAGCAATGGCTGGGGAAAAACGTAAACATTTTGTTCTAAGGAACAAGTCAGTCCTGCAGAAAGAAACTAACAGTTAGCATTACTACAGTACTCCTAAATATGCCAAAGTAATCAAGATCTTGCATCCAACTGCTGGTCCACAACTGGGTATCTTTCAGAGATTTGTGTAATTATTTTAAAGCAAGGTTGGTCTTTGAGAGTCAACATGGAAATTCTGTGGCCTTACACAGCAAAGACGACAACCCTAGCCTACAAAAGCAGCTAGTTGGCGAGACAGAATTTGTCTCCAATTGAATTTTTTTTTCTATGTGGATTAACAGATGAGGTGGTTGAGTGATCTGGCCAAAGTAATTCCAGTGAGTGGCTCGGCTAGGATTAGTTTAATACTAAGCACTAGTACTGGTTGTGGGGTTTTTTTTTAAGCTACACCCTGTTTGAGCTAAGTTAACGATTAAGTTCATAATTTTATACTGCATCCTAAAAGCATTTTGGTTATAAAACTATCAAGTTGTTCATAGCATCTCTATGACTGGGATGAATAGTTGCTATTGTACTTCTAGACAAACATTTGGTCATTGCTTAGCTTAGTTTGGGGTGAGAAGTGTCTTTGTCTGCTGGTGGAAGAATCCTGGCATGGTCTGGCATTGCTAGAGCCAGTTGTAAACAGTTCGCAAGTTACCCAGGCACTGCAGCTGGCTCAGGAGCAGGCCGCCGAGTGCGCCTGTTTCAGGAGGCTGTGAAAGGTCTTTTCGAATTGGAGCTAGGACGACGGCTCTTTTCCGGTCATACCAGAGCCAATAAACACAGAACAAGGGCCTTGGTATTCCTGTTTGCAGCTAGGCCAGCTCTTTGGGAGAAGCTAAAGACTAGATGATATATTTAGTACTTCGGTCTTCATCTCACTAGGATTGAATAATTAAAACAATACAGTCATAGGTCGCCTTCCTGTTCTACCACTTAAATCCACGTACAGCAATGCCTTTTGGTGCAGCCAGATTTAATAAATTGTTAATGAAGCAGAAGAAAGCCTTGCCTTTTCCAGGAACTCAAGCCCAAAGCGCTGCTCCTGCTGTCTTGGCGCACATAAACCCATCATTGTAGGAAAGCACTATTTCCTCCTCCCCCACTCCGCTTTCATCCCTAAATTAAGATCTGTAGTTAAGTCCAACCTTCCCCTCCCCCCAAAGAAAAGCTCTCTTAAAACAGAGACTGTGCTTGAAGGAAGGAAAAAGGCATGTGGAGCTGTGACTCAGCTGCAAAGAGTCCTCAGCAGTCAAACACTCGTTTCTCCCCGGGCAGGGTCACATCCTCCCCTCTGAGAACGTATTTTCATAGATCTTGTTCTTTATATTTTAGAGAGCCTATGTCTGCTTTTCACCTGGAACTCCAGCATGTCAAGTTTCTTCAGCAAAGCAATATTCAGAGGTTAACAAGAAAACGAACTGGTAAAAATCAATTTAGGGCTCAGAAGTCTGTGATTCATTACTCACCTAAACTGCAATGTAACATCCTGTTGCAAAAGGCAGATGCACAAAAAGATTTCTCACAATTTACATTAAGATGGAACAGCCAAAATTAATCGCTATTCAGTCTTTCTGGCAGTAATTCTAGTATAGTTGCTAGTGTTAATGTGGTGTTTGGAAGTTGAAAAGCTATACATTGTTTGCGTTAAGAATTTTTTTTGGATAAAGGACAAATTTCCTGATGAGTCTCATCTTTGTATAACTTTCTGTAGTACATTTCTTAAGCAATTAGAAGAGCGAGGCCAAATCCTTTTCCCTTCCCTAAATGGTAACTGAGGGCTGAACTAAAAGTAACTGTATATTAGCTCTGGTTTGAACTATTTAAAATGATCTCCCTATAGACAGTATTGGAGTTTAGCAGCTTAGTTGCAAATACAACATAGCCTTCAGTATCCAAAAAAAAAAAAAAAAAAAAAAAAAAAAAAAGAGAGAGAGAGAGAAACCAATTCTTTAGGCACTAAGCCTAACAAATATCCTTGCTGATCTCACGTAGCTGGAAAAATCCCTTATTGGCAGAAAGGCCCAGGTGATATGCTCTGACGGGTCTTCCCATTAATCACATTGATAATCAAGTACACTTCACTGTTTTCTGGAATGCACTCATTTATAACTTAAGCTGAAAGTCCCAGTAGTTATTAATTAGATTTGATGAACTCTGTGTGTATGAGATGGGTTACACAGATTGGCATATGTTCCATCCCATTGTTTTATGTCCAATATACTTGGCTCCCCTGTAGCCACACAGTATTGTTGCCACAGGCCCCGAGCTGCTAAACCTTGCTAAAAGTATTCCAAACTTCCCTTCTTCTCACACTCTCTCCCCAAAGGAGCTGGTCCTAGTTATCACAACAATTATAGTTTCTCTAAACAAGACTAGCTTGTTGCACAATAGCTGGAAATCTTTGGCTTTAAAGTCAGAAGAGAAATAAAAAAGAACGCAGAAAATGGTCAGTATATGGTCATGTCCTGGGCTATTACTAAGGCAGAAGACGCTCATGTTATGAAAACATAAAGGGAAAGAGCCACATGGATTTAAAAGCTACTTTCAAAGTGCACTGTAAGTTAAGCTTTCATTAACGTGAAACTCGGAGGTTAGTACGTACTGAGCAAACTTCAGTGGCAAGTGGCAGCACTAACCTGCAAAGGCTGAATCAAAAATACGAAAATAATTTAAATACAAAAGTCAGCTTTGGAAAAGTTAGAGCCTTGCAGAACACATAGCAGAAATGGACTTGGTTTGGCAACAAAACATGTTTTTTCTGATGACATCAACTTCATCAATCACATGCACTACCACTTGCATGCAAGAATTCATTGTTAGGTAGTCTGGAAGAAAAATCCAGCCAACAATGCGTACTCTGATTTATTTACACACACTCACTTAAGAAGTGGTTTCGGCTTCTGACAAACTACGTGGTAATGAGCTGTAGCACTGGAAAACAGGAAACATACTTGGGGAGGGAGGAAGATGCACTCCATTTATTTTGGTTTGTTTGTACACAGCTCCAGTTTTCATGACAGTGTTTGTTAGTTGGGCATACCCGGCCTTAGTTTTAGTTGAAAGAATAAAAGCCTAGAAAAAACAACGTTAGTGGCTGAATCGTTGACTAAAATAAGAATTCAATTCAATATCCAAACCTCAAAGGAGCCAAAGCATGACGTGTGACATTCTTTCTAAAGATTCTGTTGGTGATTAATTTAAGTTTAGTGTCAGGGCTCCTGGACCAGGCCTCACCTGGAACTATTAGGATGCATCTGACTTGCTCTCCCGGAACCAAAAAATCTGGGGTACAACCCAGACACCTGAGCTGACTCCCCTGTGAGAAGGCGGGGGAATAAATCCTTGCACACCTGGCACTGTTTAACTAGCAGTCAGATAATCTCCTAACAGATTACCACAAGCAATGGTCTATCCTGACACAGTACTCAGTTGGTAAATAGCATTAACGAAGTGCTTGAAAAAGAAGTTGAAACAGCTTAAAATAAATACATTGTAGAACAAAAACAATCCAAAGAAATCTCTTCACCACCACACCGTATCAAGCTTGTCTTCTTTCACTCCTTCCAGAACTCCCATCTAATCCCCCTTCTTCAATTGCAAGGGTTTTTCCTTGACCTCAGACAGAACAGCGGCATTTTCTAAACCTGGGTAGTGTTTCCTTCCCAGGCCTTCATCGTTAGATCCAGAACATCACTGCTATCTCTCTTATTGACAAGATACAGGGAATTTTGTAACACTTAAAAAAATCAGTCAGGTTCCTGCCCATATTCCTAACTTAATTTCAAGTGTTCTATTAAGAGAATATATTATGGAAAAAAATCCTCAATTTGTGTTACGCTAGTGATCACAAGCAGTGCTAAGAATAAAATACCACCTGCCCAATTGACACCATATCATTTTAACAATACATGTGACAATTTATATGAATCCTGTCACACGCAAAGGTTGTGGATGAACAGAGTTATACGCTGTACCACCCCACTCTTTTGTCTGCTTATCCTGGCTGTTACATACATGCAAGGAGGTACACTGACGTTTACTGTTGTAAACGTCACTGAGAAGGGATTCCTTTCTTGAGAAGCCCAATATAAACAGCCTGAACTGGTTTCCAAAAGACCAGTTCCGTTCTGAAATCCTAACTGCCGCTGGATTAACGCTTTTAAAAAAGATCACGTCTAGTCTGAAATCTAGGCAAAAATTAGCATTATAGAACTAGGTTTTAATGGCAATTTATAAAGCTGGATTTATTGTTTCAGTATAGTCCCTTGTGATTAGCGAGGCCCTTTAGACATTGGTAACAATGGTACAAAGGGAGAGTTCAAAAAAGATCAGGAATTGTTTTCCCATCCCATGTCCTACAAATGGGCATGATCCTTCTGGAGATTTTCATTTATTTATATTATATTTATTCATTTGTCATTCATTTATAGCACTATCACACTTAACCTTCTTTATTTATGGCTTGTTCTAAGCACAATGGTGGAAACAGAATCTGATGATGTAAAGGTCTAGAAAGCCTCACTGCAACCTCACTAGGCCAAAACAGGTACAAAGCAAAAGCTAATCAGACTCCCTGCGCAGCAAGAAAAAATAAATTAAAGAAAAATAGCAGCTTCAGCATAAGCCCTTGAAACAGTCTCTTCTTCCCAAATAATTTAAGAATTAGTGTTACAGTATGCAAGACAGACGGAGTTTATTTAACCTGACTCTCTGCAGATGAGCAAAACACTGTCTTCCCCTTTCCCATTCCAAACCCTCAAAGCCTACTCATCTTAAAATAGCATTTCATCTAGGACTTGTCACACCTAGAATGAGTAAACAGATAACTATTGAAAGCTATTTCTGAAACAGGTTAGGTACACTTAGTTTCTCTTTATCTTATACTGTCATTTGTCCTTGCTCTTTTGTGTGGATTTTCTAAACAGTCCAAATGAAAAGACTATATAAAAATAAAACCTCATTTTAAAAAGCACCAGAATGTCACATTGGCTTATGTAGCGTCTGAACCCCTAAGAATTAACAAACCCTGTTAACTAGGAGAGAGTAGACAATGCTGACAGCAGTCTTTTTTTGGGCGGGAGGGTAACTGTTAGTTTAACCATAACACTGGGAGTGGTGCACGAAGCGCTTTACACTTCAGATTACACATGAAAACCAGTCTTGCTTGGGCAATCTTATTTCAGTAGTTACCCTTTTGAAATACATCAATCCAGTTAAGATATTATCCAAGCAATACCATACAACGCGACAATGGGGGCACATACATGCAAATGAGTTATATTAATGAAATTCTCTTTTCTACAAAGAAGTAGAGTCCGTAGTATCCTTTCATATAGAATAGTAAAGAGTCAAGAGACAATGAGCTACACAGTTAGGAAATCTAATTCCACTCCTAGCAAGGCCAGATGCCTGTTTCTAACGCTGGGTAGCTCTAATTCAGTCTCCACACAAACAGAACTGAAATACTATATAAATCAAGGTAAACATGAAGACATGGAGGTCTATAGGTTGGAAGCGCTACAAAAAGAACCAACTTTATTTCTTCAGACACAAGATCAAACACGCTCAGTTATTACAGCTGGTTGACTTCTTTTACGTCAAGGTTTAGTGAAAACCCTGTTCTATCCCTTTCATGGGAATGTTTCCTTTGAAGGTTTACTTGCAGAGAGAAAGGGCAGAGCAGTTGGTCTGTTTCAAACCATTTTCCCCTGCTTTTATATGCATCGATATTAAATTGGTTTAGAAGGTCTTGAGTATTTCTTTCTTTAAATTGAACTAATAGTCTTTTCTGTATGGGAGAATTATTTGGCTAGAACTTACTGTAGGTGAAAGCAAGCAACAGAGAACTATGAAGAAATCAGGAGTTTTGTTTACCAGAGAACAAGTATTTCCTTTAAGATTTACCCTCTTTCGATTTTATGCAAGAGATTCTACTCATGCATTTTTATTCTTCTAGCAGACTACGAAGATTATTATGCAAGTTATGTACATGTTACTTACCTAACATTTCTTTCTTTAATTTTTCATTCCGCTCTTCAATTTGTCTAGGTAATCGCTGTGGAAAGAGACAAAAATTGGAACCAGACCCACGCTTTCAATAATACTCTAGGTTAAGCTTCTGGAATTTTCATACCCAGGATACACTGTTTATGGCCTAAAAAGAATCCTTATGTCAAACCACAATTTCATCTTATTTCAGAAACCTGTGATTCATCCTATGACATCAGTTCACATAAACAGTAAGTTGTAACTTTTAAGTGCAGGTTTCACACAGGCATACATTTTTTACTGCTGAAAAACAGATCTAATCTGTTTGCTTGGGGTTTTAACTGAAAAGCTTATGGAATGTAAGAGACTTACAACTGAAGTATATTTTAGCTCTGTCTCCTCTGCTGGATGCATAAAATTTGTAAGAGAGGCTAGAGGAACTAAGCAAGCGCAGCACTTGGCTTCTGAACATAAACACAGGTGTAATGAGGAAAACATCCATAAAGTCAGTTCTCAGTGGCATCACACTTCAAGGAGATCTGCGCTGTGAAAACACTGATGTCTTCTAAATACAAATATTTTATCAGATCACTGAACTAACCGTCTATGAACTTCAGGACATAGTTTAACAAGCAGCATCTTATTACACAACGTATGGCATAGTTCTAAGGAGGACAGGGTATTACAAATAAGGGCCTTGATTTGGCAATTGATCGTGGGGAGGGAACTCCAACAGTTCATCCCGAGCAAGGCATTAGTCCAAGTAACGGTTCATTAACATGCTTTTTCCCTCCTCAGAACTGGCACCAGTGTTAAAATCTGTTGCACCATCACAAACAAACTTATCCCGTGTTTCTCATGAGCATTATGTAACTGCATGGTCTATGCATTCCTCATGATTTGAGATTCCCATTTATGCCTAGAACATCTGTGACTGATCTTCCATCTTTACACAGTACTGGTGTTTTGCTATATGATTGTAACGATCATTTTTCATTAGAATTTTATATTCACTACAACTAGATTTACCATTGTATTATTGAAATTTTGCACTTTCTATACATCAGTTAACTACAATATTGAAACAAAATATTATGAATGACAGTCACTTTTTATACATCTTTTTCATATATTTCAGAAGTACTATTTCAAGCTTTTATACTCTGCTTATTAATGTATAATTCTGGCAGTTCTGCATGCAATTATATGCGTAACTATGCTGTCTCTTCTTGAGGAGGTCATAGCAAATAAGACAGATCTGCTATAATGGTGCTATCAGTAAATTAATTACAGTTGCGGACTATGGTAACGGGTGTGGAATTCACTCCTGATACACTTCCCTTGTGTCTCAACAGAGTTGAAGAATTAATTTCCTAATCTTGTTCCTTCCTGTCATTTACAGCTCCAGTCATCATGGATAGGTTTGTCATCCTGATATTGCTACAGTGAAATAAGATGTCCACCTCAAGAAGAAGTCCATAGACACGGCTGCCTGACTATTCCTCTCCAATGCAGGATGTGCTGGTGAACGCAGGCAAACACGGTCCATCTTCTATAGGGATGGGAAAGACAGGTGGTACACCCCAGAAAAAAAACCCAGAAAAATGAGTACTAAGGAATACAACGCAGATATATATGGATGGCTAAGCCTGAAACCAGCCCAGGCCCAGCATCACCACCAACGAGCCAGATCTCATTAGCCCAGTCAGACCTCATCCGACTCCTGCTGACCCAGAGGGGCTTGTTAAGTTGGGTGCAGATCGGGACCTAAGCTGCCTGCATGAAAACACGTGTGGATATCCCCAGGCTCTAAATTCAGTTTGCATTGCGGCTGTAAGATTTGCTGAATCTTGGACGAGTTTGGCATGTATAGCACGTGTCTCTCACGTTTGGACATTAGGCTTTAGCAGGATACGAAGACACAAATCCTTGATCTGAAGTACATCCTCCATGTTTTGTCTCTCGGAATACTGCTATTCCAAAGACTCCGCATTTCTCACTCCAGAAATGTATTTGCAAGGTTAGTTATCTATAGAAAGGTGTCCATAAGGACAGCTGTTTATCTGGTGTCTATGATACTTATCTCAAAGTACAGCTCCTTTTGGTAAATAAGTTTATCTGGCCTGCCAATCCCTCAGAAACTGCGTTGAAGCTAAAATTCACACAACGCTGTTATGCATCTGCTAAAAACAAAACCTGAAGATTGATACCATATAATAAAACACTTTCTGGGAAAGCACCAATAGGGATGATTTGACCACAAAACATTATAATTTCAAACCGTTTAATTTGGCATTGAAGGTGTCAAAAGTAGCTGAAGTGTGCAACACGAGGACTTAAATCAAAACACTAGCACTGTACTCCTAAAATATAAACAGTACTGAAATTTTAGAGCAGCTACCACATCAGGAAATCAAAGCGAAGAACTACTGTGCATTTAATATTTTTAAACTGTCATTTAACAAGACCGTGACATTCCCTAAAGCAGTATGTGAAATATTTTCTGTCTACAGGAAGGAGCAAGATTTGCTCTACCAGTGAATGCAGGTAATTTGCAGATTCTCTTGATGCATCGTTTTCATTACCAGTGAGGGGGAAAAATGCTGTGGTATTTCTGCAAAGAACAATGCACTTTACCTTACAGTAAAGCAAAGCTGCTTAGTCTCCTACATATTAGGTATGTTAACCACATATGTTGAGTCAACATTACAGCTGGAATTTTTTTTTATTATGAGATTTAGAGATTGCTTATGAATATTTTTAAAAGTGTAAAACTAGCCGTCAGTATTTCCTTAACAATTTTTCAAGCGGGGAGTTTTACGCTGCAGTCTCAAAAGATTGTTTCTACGCTGAAACCTGACAAAGAACAGGACCAACTCAGGACAGAATGTCCTAAATCCCACTACAGTGTAAATTGACGGCATTTTGTACAAAGTGTTCCGCACCACACGTGAGCCTAAAGCCCCTGCCTAGTAAAATGTGGTCAAGGAGCAGAAGGTATATGAAACGGTCAACCTCTGTACTTCCCAGCTACAAAGATTAAGAATAAATTACTGATCGTTCTGAAACATTCCTGAAAGATGGCCAGGAAGAACAGCAGCACTGTTTATGATTGTCTTCTAGCCCAAATCTCCACCGGTTACTGAGCAAGGGCTCTTTTGTGACACTATTAGAGGCATACTCACTGAAAGAAAATTGTGGTTTTGCAAGAAGTACAAAGGACAGTATCTATACTTTCAGGGGGTTCCAATCAGCCAAAATATATGTATTTTAAACTCCTTACATTTTGTACCAACTACTGACAGTGTTCCCAAGTCTTAATCTGTGGAGTCCTGACTGGTGGTTCACAACAATCTGTCTGATCTTCACAGTTGTTCTTTCTGAGATGGGCTGCTAAAATGCACCCCTTATACACCAATATTGTTTTACCAAGTAACTGGCTAGATTACACTAGGCCTCACTCTGGAGCTAGTCTAATGCTAAAAGACTACAAGCTACAAAAACTAAACCCCATCGTTTCCTTTAGAAATGTCAGCAGGCTCCTTGGCTGAATTCCTGGATCAAATAAGCCATAGTCTCAGCTAGGAGACTATACACAAGGCCAACACAAATACTCTTTTCTGGACTGTGATGGACCCAGGACCCATCACATTCACTACCCATGCAGTAATAACGTTTGGCAAGCTTGTAATTTATTAAGGCACTGCCAAGAGCTAGGTGATAAATCGCTCTCCTGCTCTCAACCAGATGCATGCAACAAGCATCAGTGGGTCGTTTCACAGTACAGTAAACTGACCTTGTCAAGAAGGGATGCCAAAAGGGATGGCCCCAATTCCTGCACTGCCTTGACCACGTCTTCTTTCCTTCTCACTAGCATTTGCAGTAGGACTTGTCTGACTGCAAAAAGCCAAGGCAATATACAAGTATATACTTTGGGGCCTTTTACTTGCTGGCTTTTTTTGCTTCTTGTTGCCGTTTTTCCCTTTAGCAGAGTTAGTTGTCTGCCAGGCTCATATGTAGAACCAGCCATCCCCTAGGGCGGGACACGAGCTAGTATCAGCGCTAGCAGAAGGAAAGCAACTGGACAGCTTTGTAAGCAGCAGGCAGTTAGTAGATCAGTTTAGCTGTTTTGTGAAACCATACCCTTACAGGAGTTACACAGTTAAGCAGAATATTTTTCTGCCATCAGTGCAACTGATACTGTCCCAGAGGAAGTAATTTCAGGCAAGGCTTCTTGTCTAATATGCTATAAATGCAGTTTCTAATCTGTCACTTACAACACCATGGTATGGGGAAGGGGGGGGGGGGACACAACA